AATGTGTTCTGAGGAAGGGTCACCGGACCCGAAACGTTAACTCTGTTTTCCTCCTTCACAGATGCTGCCAGACCTGCTGAGCTTTTCCAGCAACTTTGTTTTTGTTCCTGATTTACAGCATCCACAGTTCTTTCGGTTTTTATGAAATACTCACAACTTCTTCCTCCCCATGTCTGATGTCTGTTCTACTGAATTAGTTGTGCAACATAAGGTGCCTATGGATGGCACTGTTCCATTCCACCACTGCATTTAGCGTTCCCATAGCAGCATGCCTGCACATACTTACATAGCCTTGTAGCAGTTGGCCCAGCTCGGCATGTGGATCGCTGCTGACCCAACCCTAACAAGACATCTCTGCAAGCTTTACGAGATTGTGGTGCCCATGACCATAATAAGGCTTCCTGACTTGCCTACAGACTCTTGTTCACCATACAGTGCAAGTTAAAGTATTGCACACTGTGATTTGGCTGCTTCCTAGGAAGCTATTGTAATGAATAGGTGGGAAACAGTGAACAGCTTGTACCAAAATCTGCTTTCGTTGTGTGAAGTTCAAAATCCTAAGCAGAGAAGAGGAAGATCTGGCCTACAGGGTATAGACTGATATGTTGTTAGAGTTATTAAATTTTGAAGTGTTACCTGGTAAACAACACCTTCCACATCAAATCACTTCTCCTATTTTTTACATTCATGTTTTAAGTTAACATAGTCTTAAAATACTCACTGTAAGTTATATTTTATTATCTTTCCTAGACTATGTGGGTTTGAACCATTTTTTGATGCAAGGGGTGACCAGTATATGTACAGCAGGATCTTGAACTGTGACTATGAATTTGTCTCCCCCTGGTGGGATGATGTGTCTCTAAATGCAAAAGATCTGGTAAGTATTGCAGGAATCCGAGAAAGCATTTATAACTCAAAAACTAAGCTCGAAAGTAATAAGCTAATTGTTCGCGTATTGTAAGACAGTAGCACAGAGGTGTTTCAGAGCTGCTGATTGCCATGAACGAACTTGAAGTCACTCCGAATAATGAAACACTCCAAGCTTTTGTTAGGGGTTTGGCATATGTGGAACTTTGGAGGAACCTTGAGGAGTTGGGTCAAAATCCTGGAACTTACTTCTTAACAGCATCTTGACTATTCCACATTCCAATGACTGCAATGGTTCTAGATGGCAGCTCGCCACCAGCCAGGCAACAAATGATGGCCTAACAACACTCACATCCCATGAATGAATAAAAGAAAAACTTACCATTCCAGTGACGTACCTTCGTTCAACTACTTTCAAGTTGTTTACTTCAAGATATTAGCTCATGGATAGTGACTGAGAATGGGAATAATGTAAGATTTCCCCATCTTTATCAAGACTTTTTAAGATAATTTCAGTGGCCAAAAGCATCCTCAGTACATGCTCCATGGGCACCAATGACATGCACCCCATGTCTGCACAAATTAGCATTCCATATTTGCCAGCCTCTAAGAGCCCTGGTGCCACTTACATGACGCTTTTGCATTTCACTGTTGTGCCTTGGGATTCATCAGCAGTTATCATTGTAATGCTGCAGCAAGGACACTGTGCATTCAGGGACATGCACCAGCTCAAATACACGATCAGGCTGCATCTCTTAGCTCTTCACTTTCTAGCATAGTGGTCACTCACTCCAAACCTAGCTGGATCTCACAGCATCCCTGTCTTGCATTTTCCTTGCCTCTATGCGTTTGCCCCTCAGGCAGAGAAACCAGGTTCATATTACTTGTCGTGCCTTGCCAATTAACACAAACACAAAGGAAGGAGGATTATCAGGGTTGTCATCAGGCCTCAGTCAAGTCACCTGGGGATAGCCTTCAAGTCAGATGATCTCAGCACAGGAAGTAAAGGGCAGCCTTTGGTATCAGTCCAGGCGCTTGGACACAATCAGCGCTCAAGGTGGTCAGAGTTGGGTTGCTCCCCACATAAGGGTAAGGAGCCAAATTTTGAGCATCCCATTATCCATCTTGAGTTGTTCTGCCTATTGAGGGCTCTCAATCTTTTCTGCTGGCAGGGTCAGTTTTGATAAAATTGCATTGACAGAATTCGGTAGTAGCTATTTTTGCTTTGTAAGATCTTATCAATGTGTATAAAACAAATTGTTGTGTTTTACTTACTTATTATAAGATTCTATTATTATAATGGGGAGGCGATGGCCTAGTGTTACTATCACTGGACTGTTAACCCAGGTAATGTTCTGGGAACCCAAGTTCAAATCGGCAGATGATGGAATTTGAATTCAATAAAAATTTGGAATTAATGATACCCATGAATCCATTGTCGATTGTCGGGGGAAAAAAACCATCTAGTTCACTAATGTCTTTTAGAGAAGGAAACTGCCACCCTTACATGGTCGAGCCTACATGTGACTCCAGGCCCACCGCAATGTCGTTGATTCTTAACTGCTCTCTAGGAATTGCAATAATGCTGGTCTAGCCTGCGATGCCCTCATCCCATGAATGAATTTAAAAATAAGAACATTGAAGTTATTCACTCTAATGCTCTAAATATGCTATCAATCTACATTTTGTGCCTCTGAATCTTGCAGCTGCATCATTTGATCTGTCAGATTGTTTATCTTTGTTTACATTTTTAAAAATCAGGTTGCAACAACAGATGAGAAAAAGAAATGGAACAATTTTGTAACCAAAGGAAAAAAAAACTGACTAAAAACCTCAGGATTTGATAAAGCATTTTGAATGTTGAAAAGGTCTTTGTTCAGATCATGTAAATAATAGTGATTCACAACCAGTGAAGTTTCTTCCTCGTGCTACTTCTAAGGCACTGTGTCTTAACATAAACAGGTCAGAAAACTGATAGTGCAAGATCCACAGAAACGGTTAACAGTTCATCAGGCCTTGCAACACCCTTGGGTGACTGGGAAAGCAGCTAATATTGCTCATATGGACAACGCTCAGAAGAAAATGCAAGAATTTAATGCGAGGCGCAAACTTAAAGTGAGTAAATGAACAATAAGCAGGGAGTTGTGCAATAAATTAATTTTAAATGTTGAAATGGCACATACCCATTGTAGACTACACTTCTGCCTTAAAATCTTTCTTCCCTTGATCCCAGACATGCACATATAGGCAGAGGTGGAATTAGTTCTAAATAAAAACTTTAATCACTCTTGTTTGAAGTTGTAAGTACAGTGTTCTATCAATTGATATCAATGTTTAGGAACTTTGCTGATTCAAGAAACATTCATGTACCGTTTTTGGTATTTACAATGAAGCTGATGCCACTTTGCCACAATAATAAGGTGTGTAAATGGGATTAAGTCAGATTTAATAATTTTACAGAACTAAAGGTTTAATCTAACGAAAACAGAAAGTGCTGGAAATCACAGCGGGTCAGGCAGCATCCGTGGACAGATAGCAAGCTAACGTTTTGAGTCTAAATGGCTCTTCCCTATAGTCTAGAGACCTCTCCCCTCTCCCCACTCCAGTGGGACCGAATGTTTTTTCCAGTCTAGCAGTTAGACACACCATTGTTCTGCCATTCTCACATTCTGATTACTTAATCTGCACTATCAGCACCCTTTCTCCCCCAGCACTCCACCCCACTACTATTGCATAAATGCCGCCCCTTCCACACTTCACATCAGCTCTAATGTAGAGTCATCTCGACATGAAACGTTAGTTTGCTCCCTCTCCATGGATGGTGCCTGACCCAGTGTGATTTGCAGGACATTTTTGTTTTTAGTACAGGTTCCGGCACCTGCAGTAATTTGCTCCTAGGTTGAATCTGTTGTACTTAGTAGTTCTGAACTGCAGATTATTAATGAGTGGCAACATTGTTTTTGGCAATTTAAGTCCCAAAGGACAATGTTGAGCAAGGCAGGAGAGAAATAAATGGTAACTGAGTCCAAAACTTTCCAAAATTGATTGCTCCTTCTGGAGATAATATTTGTAATACCTTCATGGCATTTGATATCATGATATTAGGATTTCAGCGCAAAATGAATGACAACAAAAACAGTAGGCTTTGAAGGTTCCTTTAGAAATTAGTCCTTCAAACCCAAGTAAACTGAGGAACAGAAGTAAGCGACTTAGCTCCTCAGGCTTTCAATTAGATTATGGCTGATCTGTATCCTAATTCTGCTTTCCTGTCTTAACATCCCTTAACATCCTTGGCTAACAAATGTCTATCGATATCAGATTTTAAATTATGAATTGAATTATCACGTACTGCTTTTTGAAGGACAAACATAGACATTTATACCACCTGTTTTCCAAACAGGTTTACCACCCTCTTCCAAATGGCCCAGTTCTGATTCTGTGGTCATTTCTCCTTATCCTAGTCATTCTCATCAGCAGAAAAACTTTCCATTATATTACTTGACATTAAAATGCCAAAGACCACATTAAATACAAGAGATAACAGTAGAGCTGGATGAACACAGCAGGCCAAGCAGCATCAGAGGAGCAGGAAGGCTGACGTTTCGGGCCTAGACCCTTCTTCAGAAAAAAAAAACAAGCCTGTTTTATGTGATTTCCGAATTCATGCCAAGTTCAAATGGTGGCAAGTAAATATACTGTGGATCAAACATATCATCTGCATATGTTACTAAAAAGTGCTTCCCTTGGAAAAGCAACTTTGTTATTTCAAACTCAGTGGCAAATAAGAACATGCTATGAGAGAAAACAGACATTAATCTGCTTTAGAAATTTATGAACTGTAACTAAATGAACTAAGAAAATTCTATATTGGTAAACAATGAGAATGCTGAGATAGGATTTATTTGCTGATAATATATGACTGGCATCTACACCTGATGAACTTACTGTTGATAAGGTTTTCTTGTTTTCCTTATATTTTGATACACAAGTAATATGTAAATTCTCAAAAGGTTAATTCTCAGGAGAGACATACTGACACATCTTTCACAAGCAACTTATGCATTTCTTAGAACTATGTTTCATGTAAATGACTATCGTCTGGCTTACAGCTGGAAAGAAACTTTGAATAAACTATGGTGTATACTTAACTGAGTCTTCCAGTGTAGTACATGATGAAAAAAATATTGAGATGTTGTGCTGTTTTGATTTTACTTTGACAGGCAGCTGTTAAGGCTGTAGTAGCCTCAAGCCGACTGGGAAATGCCAGCAATCACACCCACAGCAATCACGACAGCGTCAAAGGAAGACACAATTCTTGTTCCATCCAAGAGCAGAACACAGAAAAGGAAAATGGGCAAGAATCATAGCTAAGCTTTTGCAATTGGTTCCCAAAGACTATCTTCCTCATGGAAGATACGCAAAGAATGCTGGCAATGTTCAATAGCTCAGAACTTTCTTTCCAAAATTAATGGTGATAACATATTTTGCAAAAAAAAAAGAATTCTGTAAAGTATGTTCCACGTCATCTTGTAGTGGAATGAATATGGCAGATCTTCAAATCACACGTGAAGATTTTATATATATATATATTTATAGTATTTTATGTTGTAGTACTCAATGTAGACTGATAATGGTGTAAACTAATCTAGGATCACTGCAGTTTTAAAATACGCAACACAGCATTTGTATCCAACCTTCATTCAGTCCATTTATTGGATATAATGTCCACTCTAATTAATTTTCAACGCAGATGCTTTGACTAAAGGGCAAATGGCATACATTAATTTAAGTAATTTAAAGGAAAAGGAAACATGGCCTTATCACAAAGCAATGAAGATGTTTACTGGGTCATGTGAAAATCTTCAGTTCATCCAAAGATTTTGAATGAACGGATGTAATGAGATAATAAAAGTAGACCAGAGCTGGACATACAAATCAATATTATGCTCTTCTTTTTTTTAATTATAAATTTGCTTTCATCTGATAAATAGGGTATAGTGACAATGAAAAAAGTATTCGATATCCAAAATAACAACAGATATAGTTGGAAATCCATGGTGGGTCAGTACACACTTGAAAAAGAAAGGCAGGCTGTTATCAGTTATTCAATTTTCCCTGTTCTCTCTAGTTCCACATTACTAATCATTCTAAAAGTGAACCCTGTGTCCTCTAGAATCAAGAATATACTGCTGTTCAATACGTATACAATAAGAATGGCCAAGGGGCCATAACGGTAAGTCACTTAATTGTGTTAATGTATCCTGCTATATTATACTTGCTCCATGCCATTTCTCTCATCTTCCGAAAGACTAAATGATAAGCATGCCAGTGAAATAAGAGCAGTAGTATAATTAATTTCATGACTGCACATAATACCATGACAATGTCAACTCTTATTTATTTCTTATCCCTCTTTGAAACATCAAAACTGTGCCTGGGATTTGAGCCTCCCTTCACTTTATTATTATCTTAGGAAAGTGTCTGTTTGTTTCATTGTTTGAAACTCAAACTTAGCAATGGAGTCACATTTTGTACCCAGAGGTAGAGAAAAGAAAATCCAAAAGCTTCATCTCAACTCTTCTCCCAGCTTTCTGCCAAGTACTCAATCATCAAACTATGAATGAAGAATAACTTGATATGGCTCCCATGGTAGCTAAATTATCTGGTTAGCCACTTGCTGTACCCAATCCATAAAAGCAATCTGACATTACACATACAAATATTTTGAAGAAACTCTACCTGCCAGTGCTATATTACTGCCAAGAGATGGATGCAGCTACTTTCCACCCAAAAAGATAATACATTCAGGGGATTCAGTGAGGCAGCAGCTTCTGAGTAACAGTCAGAGGGACAGATCTCAGTGCTCCAGTGCTGCCGTTACCTCCCCAACCCAAGTTCCAAATTCAGCCCAAAGGTACTGTCTCTCTCTCTCGCCATTCATGAGATGCCATGTAGCCACACTATTTAATGGCCAGTACTACTTTCACTGCCTCTGCCCCGCTCCTGGATTCTCCAGTCCAGGCTCCTTTAGACATGTGTAAATTCAGTCTCTATAGGGCCATCTGTGCATGTGATGTCATTATGCACAGAATGGTGTGAAATCAACCGCTTGTGCTGATGCATCCTGGCTGATGGTCATGATATTGCCAATAGATGACATCATCAGGTCTGTTTACACATGCCCAGACAGTCATTTTGATAGCCATCTTTGTGTTCAGGCCAAATTACTCTGAAATATTTAATGGAATTTTTGGGATACACTAATGAAGCACCCATCAGATATCTTGGGTAGAATCTTACAGGAACGCAAATGACGTGCACAATGGTGAGAAATATGGCAGAATCGTACAAGAAATTCAGCGAAGCCTCTTTCAATGTTGGGACAACTCATATATTTTAACTAATTTGCAGGCATCAAGGTGAGAATTTTGCTTGGCAGCAGCGAGCTGACAATTAAGGAGGATTGTTGCTTGTTAACACGTTACAAGCAATGTATTCGCATAGATAGAGGATTGGTTAACTAACAGGAAGCAAAGAGTGGGGATAAATGAGTGCTTTTCTGGTTGGCGATCAGTGACTAGTGGTGTACCTAAGGGATCAGCATTGGGACCACAATTGTTTACAATTTACATAGATGATTTGGAGTTGGGGACCACGTGTAGTATGTCAAAGTTTGCAGATAACACTAAGATGAGTGGTAGAGCAAAGTGTGCAGAGGACTCTGAAAGTTTGCAGATGGATATAAATAGTTTAAGTGAGTAGGCAAAGGTCTGGCAAATGGAGGACAATGTTGATAAATGTGAACAAGGTCAGAAATCACACGACACCAGGTTATAGTCCAACAGGTTTATTTGAAAATACAAGCTTAATTGCAGCATGCTGCTATGCAGAGGGGCCTAGTACCCTTGTGCATGAATCACAGAAGGTTGGTTTGTAGGTGTAACAGGTAAATAAGAAGGGAAATGCAATTTTGTCCTTCATTGCTAGAGGGATTGAGTTTAAAAGCAGGGAGGTTATGTTACAGCTGTATAGGGTACTGGTGAGGCCATACCTGGAGTATTGTGTGCCATTTTGGTCTCCTTACATCAGAAAGAATGTACTGGCACTACTGGGGATGCACAAGTGATTCACTAGGTTGATCCCAGAGTTGAGAGGGTTGGCTTCTGAGGAGAGACTGAGTAAATTGGGATTATATTCATCAGAATTTAGAAGAATGAGGGGGGATCTTATGGAAACATATAAAATTATGAAAGGAATAGATAAGAAAGAAGCAGGGAGGATGTTTCCACTGGCGGGTGAAACTAGAACAAGAGGCCTTAGCCTCAGAATTAAGGGGAACAGATTTAGGATTGAATTGAGGAGGAATATCTTCACCCAAAGGGTTCTAAATCTGTGGAGTTCCCTGCCCAGTGAAGTAGTTGAGGCTTTCATTGAATGTTTTTTTAAAGCTAAAACAGATAAATTTTTGAACAGTAAAGGAATTAAATGTTATGGTAGAGGGTGGGTAAGTGGAGCTGAGGCCATGGAAAAATCAGCCATGATTTTACTGAATGTTGAAGTGGGCTCGAAGGGCCAGATGACCTATTCCTGCTCCTGGTTCTTCTGTCCTTATGTAACACCTTATTTACTAACACCTTATTAATTGCACATCTCGCCTTATTAATATGCAGCATCTACTGTACCACCTGCAATGAGCAAACTGGATACCAAGAATTCTTGACATGGAAGTCAGGCCAAGCACTTGGCAACTTCAGCTCACCACTTGCTCCAAAGGACCTCCATTTTGGACACCATAAACCAACATCTCAGGCCACTCTCCATGGCACTGGCTTCACATGTCCCACATTCAGGGATATTGGCTTCTGACATGTAGCAGCCTCTAAGAACCTTTGTGGCACATTTCCAATTCACTTACAGTACATTTCTGCAATTCAGTGCTGCATTTCAGGGCACAACGGTGTGCAGTCATTGTAATGCAGCAAGGACACTTCATGACTAGGGACATGCATCCAGCTCATGAACAGGGCCACGGTGCATCTCTAGATGGTTCACTTAGCATTCACTCAGTAAGTGCCTACCTGGATGCTCACAGCATCCCTTCCTTGCTTTTCCTTGCCTTTTTGTACCTTGCCTCGCAGCTACAGATATCTGTGACAATAAAACTAATTCTAATTCAGGTTCACAATACTGCTGCATTATCAGAATCCTCAGTAAAGAATAGGAGGATAGCCTTTGGTCATAGTGTCCTGGTCCAGTAAGTCATGGGCAACTTCCAATACCAATCCACAGGCTTGGACATGGTCAGTCGGCTGCTCAAGGTAGTCAAAGTCAGGATCCTCTCCTCATAAGGGGTGAGGAAGTGAATATGAGGCAGTTCACCACCTGTGTTGTGTCTTTCTCCTCTACTGTGGACTGTTTTTCATCCTGCAATGAGAGAAGGAGCTATTAAAAAAGATGGAAGTGAGTGCACAGTTGCAACTTTTGGTATAGGTGGGAATGTGTCCCAACCAAGTTGGGTAGCACAGAGGGCATGCATGGTTAGTGCTTTAGGGTTTGGCATAGGTGACAGCAAGTGAGGGAAGATGTTGCAAGCAATAGAGAGAGTGTGTTAGAGCATAAGACTTGGTGGGACGTGGGTATAGTAGCAGCACTTATGCTGGCAGAGTAGAGAAGGTATTTACCTTCTTCCCACATTGCTGTGCATTACACCAGGTGGCAACCTTGAACCTCACCAGTACTGTCTGGTGTTGTGTCCTCCACTGCAGAGGCATCCTACCTCTGCACCACCCATTTAGCAGGTTCTCCAGGTCTGTGCCCAGAAAATCAGGACACCAATTTTGCCTTCTTTGCCATGTCCAGAAATCATGCAGGGCAGCTCCAGACTAACAATGTTTGTCCAGGGATACAATGGTCTTTAAAAATGGTATTGTTACCAGGGATGCCACAAACTACTGGGATGTTCTGGGACTGGTGAGCTATTCTAGGAATGGCAAGTGGTAGAATGGGGCTAGAACTCAACTAGAGAGACACCATAGGGGAAGGTAGGTAATTAAATGAGGTGAGTTTGGTGACATGCAGTAAGAAAAACCACATGGCCTCACGGACATAAACCCTCCACGAAACTCAACAAACCTAGCAGCCAAAAAAAAATTTAGACCAATATAATAGTTATGATGATTAATCTGCTTCCCTGAGGGAAAGCTGATCAAACTTCCTTAATTTGTTCAGTGACTTGTCAGTGTTTTGCTAACATGGGAATTAATTGACTCTATCTTGAATATGACTGTCTGGCAAAAACATTTTATAACTTATATCAAAAATTAATTCCAGGCCAACCAGGTAAGAATTTTGAAATAAGTTAACATTTTATTAAAAATCTTTGACAGCAGATCAATCTTTCTTTCAGGTACTGGCTGACCCACTGTACATTTTCCTGCTGAACATATTGTCAGCTTGTTTCTGCCATCAGCACACAATTAAATTAAAAATAATGAGAAAGTTGTTTGTATGTGCATTGTACCAAATGACTCTTGACAAGATGTGGCAATTAATTTTCAGTTTTAAGAAATTAAATTGTTATTGTTTTGGTCTTTATAAACATTTAAATATAACATCAGTAAATTAAACAGATGTGTAAATCATTAGGAAAATAACAACATGATGATCTAGGAATATACATATAGCTAGTGATTGCATACAAGGTCACATCTTCAGTTAAGTTAGAGTTAAAAATATGTTTTTGCTATTTATCAATAAATGCAAATCTTTGCTTAATATTCTGTCCTCTCATAGGCATGTTTGAAACTGAACTTTTCGAATACTATGTTTTTTATAAACTCATTTCTTATGGTACTTGATCTGATGTTCAATGAAACCCATCTCTTATAGCTGTACAATATGTTAAAACTTACTTAAGGAAAGCTTGTGGTGTATAATTTATGTTCCAGTTATATTGGTCATGTGTATTCAGTTAGTCTAATGACATAAATCATATAGAGCTTATAATCTAATATTTATATATGCTCTGTGTGTGTGTGTCAGGGGTGGGGAATGGAGCAGGGATGGGAGAGAAATGGTGAGAAACTAATTTCCCTTTGCATGTGCTGACTTATATAGACAATAACCATCAGAAATAAATATTATCTGTGTTAATGGGCTAAAATGTAGGTGATGCTTGTGCAGTCAAGAATAAGTGTGTCCTTGCATACAAAATGCACTAGTAAAAGTTCACCCAAAACCTCTGCCTTAAAATACAGTCAAATTCATGAATTACATTTGATAACATCAGATATGTAGCCTATGTCCAAAAAAGCCAACATTCTCAAGAATATATTTTTCACAGGTTACAGAAATTTGTCAGTACACAGTAAGCTACAGATCCAATAAGTATCGCAAAGCACATCAAAGCCATTCAAACCTCAAATGGGCTGAAAAATCCTACAAATATAACTGAAGCATTGAGAAGTTCAGACGAAGTTCACTTTAGGGGAAACGGTATTCTACTTTTTAGCAAAGTAGTCCTAATGTATACTTTGGGTTTTTGATGTTATGGTGGATGATTTGGGGAATATTTGCAAAAATTCATACCTTGAGGAATACATTAAAATTCAGTATGATATGCTTCCCCTTAACAATAATGTATGCCTTATGCAAAAACAGTTAGTTAATGTAAATAATTAGCAGACAGCCTGGTATTAGTAGAGAATATTAATAGGTGAAAATATTTACTTGTATGTAGAATGCTTTATAAATTCCACAACTATGCCTTTGGTTATTAAACAAATTACAATGTATTTCTTCCCAACTAGTTAACATGCTAACATTAAAGAAATTGATTTTCTAAATGTAGTGACTGTTGCATTTCAAATTTTAGGGTAAAATGGAAATAGTGTGATAGGATTTATTATAATTTTGTCAAATCAGTTATTCTCTGTCATGCTACATAAAGCAAACAGAAAATGTAATATGAATTTCAGATTATTTGTAGGACTTCAAAGGACATTAAGCTCATTTTTGACATATACATATTTATAATCGATTAAATGGCTTTTTAAACGGAGAATGATCTATATGGCATTATGCATTACTTATGTGTGAAGAATCCTTTTGCCAGTCTATTGCGCAAGACTTCCAGTATATTGTGTAGAAGATATATTTATCTTGTGAACAGCAATCTTTTTTAACTGCAGTATTCTTTAGGCAATATGCAGTTGATTGTATCTTACAGTAACTCTATCTAATTTAGTAAGAAGCAGTATTTTTGACTATAAAACAGTACTGTTACATTTCAACAAACACACAAAATGCAGCTAAAAATTGTTGAATGTTTTACTACAAATAGTGCAAATTGCAAGACTATAGTTCTGCTTCAAATATTCCTTTGTTTCATAAGCTTTCTATTATAAATGATGTTATTTTTATTTCACCTCTGTTTCTGAAATATATATGTTATTCCATAAACATGCGGGGTACCTGTTGTTTAAAAGAATTCCAGATAGTGGGACTCTGTTCCTTGAATGGTTCATGGATCAGGAGCCAAATGCAACAATATGAAATCAGCTGCAAATGTTATTGTCATCTATACTCGTAAATAAAAATTACAAAATAGGATTTTTCTTGACTCCAAGTACTCTTAATTTATTTACAACTGTGATATAAACTATATAAACTATTTTTAGTTAAGAGTTTGTAATACTTCATCAAATCAGTGTTAAGAAAGGTTATGTATTTGATATACAGTAACTATTGTTGGGACTATAAGTACAATACATTTTGGAAGAGCTACCAACAGCTTGTACATTCCAAAGAACTCTCCATATTTAATGAGTGTAACTGTATATATTAAAATGCAGACCTGGCCATGTATCTTTGACCCCTTGGCAGGAGGAGTCATTGTTTGAATTAAAACTTGTTACTTGCAAATTATTAATCTCCCATGTCATTGCACATGGGGGGTCAAAATTAGTGGTGGTCCTCAAGTGAAGCAGCAGAAAGTACACAAAATTATGATCTAAGTAATGTATGCAAAAATAGGTAGTTAATGTAAATAATTGGCAGAATGCCTGGTATCAGTAGAGAATATTAATAGGTGAAAATATTTACTTATATGTAGAATGCTTTATAAATATAACAACTATGCCTTTTGTTTAATAAACAAATTACAATGTATTTTGTGAATTGTCTATAGAAAATGACAAAACAAATCATAAATCCTGTGCAGTAATACAAGTTGTGGGGATCTGCAAGTTATAAAATTTGATTTCTTCAAAGTGTACTGTTGCAGGTTTGATGGTGCAATGATTTTGTAATGGAAACACTATCTAGAAACATACAAGTATCACTGACCAAACATGTATTGCTTAACATACATTGAAAATTTATATTGTCTTTTGTCTATCTGTATTTAATATAGTTTGAGAAGATTGTATTAATTTTGTAAAGGAAAATACTTTGAAGAAAAACTAGGTGCTGAATTTTCTCAGTCCCTGAACATCATTTGCAATGGCAAGTCAGATGGAAAGATATGATGAGCTTATAAAAATGAGATTCTCAACTTTGAGGGAAAAAATGTCCAACTAGGCGCCTAAGACTTGAATAGCTAGATGAAAATCAATTAAATAGATGAGTAGCAAGAGGTCTAATTCAATTCATTTACATCTCATTAGTACCTAATCTCACCTCCTTTACATGCAGTTTCTTCTTCTCCCATCTATCAGAGAGAAACTAGATGACATAAAATCCTGCCAAGTACCTGATGACTCCAGCTCAGCACTTGTTCTTCTAGGCTTCCATCTTGGACAGCTATCCCAAACATCTCAGGGTACGCTCCATGGGCAGCAACCACCTGCACATCCCCCCACCCACCCACAGACAGAGATTGGCATCAGACACCCAGCAGCCTCACCACAGCATCATGGTGTATCTCCAACTCACTTGGAATGAAGTTATCATTCCAATGAAGTTGGGGAGTCAACCAACACTTACAGTGCTTCTGACAAATATGCCTGCTGTTCCTATGTTTGCTTGTGCATTTGAATGAAGTTATTAATGGCAAACAGTATGGGTCCTCTCCTGCCTGAGGCTGAGCAGGTGCTTAGTCTCTGGCAGACGTCTGAATGCCAGAGTCTTGGAGTGTTTCTTCCTCTTTCAGCTGCAGAGACATGCTAGTAATGTGCTCACCAGAATCAGTTCCTGGCTGTACTCCAGCAACGAGGATTCAACGGAGGAATCGGGATGAGCTGGTAGAAGGTGTAGTAGTGAGCCTTGCTTGTGCTTGCCCTCGGGGATCTGTAGCTATTCTTCAGAGATGGAGGAGATGATGTATTGAGGGGCTGACCTCTTCATGGAGGTGACTATACAGATGCCACTGGTGCCTGCAGAAAACAAGAGAAAGAATGAGTTGTGACATAAGGGTAGACATTTGGGCACGTTAAGACTATGTTCACTGTTGCAGTAGTGAGAAAGTTGCATAGCACTTGACAATGAATCTTAATTGGTTGCCAGAACATGGAAGCATCACCACATGGGCAGTCACAGTTCTCTCTTGCTAAGGCAAGGATTCTCACGTCAAAGGGATAAGGAGATAAGTGATGAGCACCCCAGCACCTATCTTGGCTCTCTCTACCCTATCGAGGGATATTTTCACCTTGAATGAGATAAAGGGAAGGACTCAACGAGATAGTTGATAGCCGTTAGTACAGATGGAGGAAAAAAATGGTGAGGTGTCCTGATTGAGTGAGTAGGTAGTACAGACAGCATGCAGGGTGATAGTCTGGGTACTTTGGTGTAAGTGAGAGCAAGTAAGGGAAGCGGCTTTATGCATTTGAGAGAGTAATAGACCACAAGCATTGGTGCAAGGAAGAAATCAATGTGAAGTAGCAAGAAGATAGTGGCACTTAACACTTCGGGTTCACAGAAGGTCATTAACTGTCTTCCTGCACTGCTGGATGATCCTTCAGACTGTGGACACCGCATTGGCCTGGGTAGCAACTTAAGACCAAGCTTGTGGGCAGGGTGCCACAGGCTCCTCTGGTGATCCTGAGAAAACAGAAAGATCCTCTTCTCCAGCATCTTGTCCACCAAGACATCCAGGTTCCTGTCACCCAACCGGGGTGTTAACTTGCCTCTGTCAACTGTCTGTAGAGCAATTATTTCCACACAACAACTGTGAAGAGCAGCTCCTGGCTGACAACACTTGACCTAGTGTACAGCTGAGGTTTAAATATGGTCCTGGCTGCAGGAATCCCAAAACATCCAGCAAGGGGAACTACTTCTACCAATGGCAAGCACACAGAAGTGCAAGTATGGCATAGAGGTGTGGTGCATACATAATGAAGTGAGCTGCGGAAGATTGTGTGAGAAAACTTGCTAGGGCTCACTGAGAGAAACCATTCATGAAACTCCCCGAAATTGACATTTACCCTATTTTTGCTAAAATTCAGCCCTATATAACTTGTTCAACGGATAATGAGTCTGAAATCAAATTTTTTTAAAATTATGCAAAACAACAATGCTCCCAAAACAACAAGCAAACTGGGCTAAAATTCTGGCTAAGTACTGCAGATGCTGGAGATTTGAAATGAGAGCAGAAGCTGATGGAGAACCCAGGTTGGGTAGCATCTCTGGAAAGAGAAACAGAGTGAGCATTTCAAGTCCACTAAAGGTTCTTTGTTAGAGCTGGGTTAAAATTCTCTGATTCCCAATTTTTTAGGCAGTTTTGAAAGTAAAACAGGAAAATGAGACAAAGACACTTAAGATGTTTGCTTTTGTCCTATGATCCTACTTCCAGTTTTCAAAAACACCTGCAACAAACTTAGCAAATCTCACTATTGACACCTTCATGCAAAGAGAGTGAAAATTGCAACACCTAAATTTATACTCCCAAGGATAAGACTTGCATGCTAAAAAAAGGACAGAAAATAGTTACACAGTTCAATCAAAAGAAGGATTGGGGTGGGGAATGGAGACAAAACATACAGCAAACTGGTTTTCCTACTTGTTACCAGTACTGTCCATTTTTGCCCAGATATATGTAGATCCGGCAAGGAGAGAGTGAGAGAGATAGAGAGACGGTTCTTGGAGTGATAATGAAAATTTATTTGCATTGAGAGAGTTGTACGATAAGACACAGAGTAAACACTGAAAGCATTACCTTGATTCCATTTGAAAGGATTAGGAATGGATTTAGTTTTGCGATGGAATAAAATGCATAGATTGAAAAGCTTTTGGTTTCAGCTCTCAGATGTCCTGGTTGAAGTTAAATGCAAGAACAGTTTCTCCTGGAGAATGGAGTTAGCTCAGAACAGTTAGGAAATGGGTTGTGTCAGTGTAAGGATTTTAGTTTGAAAGTACCAGACCATAAATAGTTGGTTAGAATCCTGAAGGGTCAGTTAAAGCTGAGAAAGTCTTCGCTCAATTGTTTGAATAATTGAGGAAAAGGCTCTCAGCTCTCAGGACCAGAAAGAAGTAGATAAGTCAAACCTATTGATGGTGGAGAAGGAGTGTCTCTGGTATTTGAGCTTTGTAAAGTGGTGACGTTGAGATATATGTATTATGCCCCATGTATCTTGGAATCTTTCGACCTGTGTTATATGCAAATAGATTGGTTTATTCTATTTTGATTTTAATTCATTTTGCATAATAAATTTCTGTTTTATTATTAAAACCAAACATTGTGTGTGTGTTTCAGTGAAAGATCGCCTCAAATTAAAAGATACCTCTCAAGCTAGATTTCAGTCTAGGATCTAACTTGTCCAATATTAACATCGGTTGGAATGTTAACATAGATTCATTTGTATGAAGGATAAGCATCTTCACAGAAAAGGTTATCACTGAGGCTGTGGACTTTGCACTTGAAAAATGACAGCAGGCCCCAAGGACCTTCCTGCCTACTGCCAGCAGCATTGTAATAGAAGGCAGGAGTTGGCCAGAAAATCCTTCACATTGCTCTGTCATTTTATCATGGCTGTTCTGACCTTGCCTTGATTGTACTTTCTTGCCTGTTCCCCATTGCTCTTGAACAGCAACCACCAACACTCCCCCACCACCCCCAACCTCCATTGCATATATGGTGTAACCAAGTTACTGTCTCGGAGGAGGCAGTAGTCCAATAGCAGGTACATTAAGCACTGCCTGCCACTTGCCCCAAATCTCTTAATTGGATTAACTGACGAAACACCGCTGTCAAGTTGACTCCCACCTCCAGTGAGATTGCTGGGAGGCAGAATATTTTGGGGAACCAACCATATGCACAAGTTTCTAATTTTGTTCTTCAGCTGACTCCGAACGTCCAGAGGCATGGCAACACCATCATGTTTTTATTTATTTGTTTATGGAATGTGAATGGTCCTGGCTGGGACAGTATTTATTACTCATCCCTCATTAACCTCGAGAAGGTGATGGTCAGCAGCTTTCTTGAACCGCTGCAATCCATTAACTGTAGGTAGCTCTACAATGCCTTGAGGGAGGGTGCTGTAGGATTCTGACCCAGCACTTAACCTGTTAAGATCAACCAAATAATACTTGTAATAATTTGTAAATTTCCAGCTTCAACTCAATGGTTTGCTTTTTCTTATTTGCAAAAGAGTAGTTTGCATCTTGGAAAAAAATAATGTAATCTTGTTCCAAGAGGAACACATACACAGACACACAATCATTTTATCAGGGTAATGGATAGACATAATGGGCTCTAGTGCTTACCCTGACTCCAGACCAACACAATCTATCCTCTTTGGAATATTCTCAACCTTGAGTTTCCCACCCTTCTAACCATCTGTCCTTCTTGATTTCACTGTACCACATCTCTGGTCTCTTCTGGCCCCTGTAAGTCAAACATGGTTCTCAGCTGGCAGTCAAACATTAGGGACACTAGCGAGCAATATGTTATCACATATGGCACATTGCTGTACATGCTGAGTAACTTGTTGAGTCAACGTCCTAGCGAATCCTCCTGAGTCCCTGAAGGCCTACTTCCAGGTTTGCTTCATATCTCTCTGCCTGGTCGTTTGTTGCAGAGTGATATGAAGCAAACCTCACACGCCAGACTGTGATTTTCCAGGTACTCCTCGCCATGTTTTACAGTTTGTGGCATAAACATTGTCACTCAGGACTTGTTTGGGGTTCCCAAACCTGGCAGGTATTTAATCTAGTCAGTCTATGGTTGTTCTGCTGATACCAACTTCATGACTGCCATCCTGGCCCACTTGGAGTGGACATCCATGACCACTAATGACATCTGTCCCTTTACAGTACCACAAAAATCAACAGGCATCCACTGCTTTGGTAATTGAGGCCATTCCCATGGTAAAGGGGCGACAACAGTAGTGCCTTCCTTAATGTGCAGGATTTGCGTGATCCCACTTTCTCCTCAATCTGGGAGTCCACGTTCGGCCACCAGAAGTAGTTCCTGACTATTTCTTTCATTCTCACCATGCCAGGGTGCCCTTGGTGACTTCTTCCAGCACCTTTCCTCTTAATGGGAGGAGGGATAACAATTCTCATTCCCCACCTTAAACATCTGACTGATACGGACAATTCTCATCTGGATAGGCAAGGGCTTATTTCTGGATGGTTTCTTTGACAAGTCCTTCCTCTCAGACCAAGTCCATCACTAGGCTCCAGACTGGGTCTTTCCAGATAGTGTTCTGCACCTGACTCCCTGATATGGGTACCTGCTCTTTCTGGGAAAAGTACATAATTTTCAGGTTCCAGTTGGGAGTATTTTTATTTCCCAATAGTGGTAAACTGGATAAAGCATCTGCATTGTTGTACTTCTCCAACTGTCGGTATCTGATTTCGTATGAGTAGGCTGATAAAACCAGTGCCCATCTCTGCAGGTGTCCTGGCTCCGATGGTATACCTATATACAGGCCAAAAATGGAGGTTAGCAGCCTGTGATCAGTCAGCAGCACAAAGTGCCTACCGTAAATGGAAATGGGTGAACTTCTTAACACCAAACATAATGCCCAATCCTTCCTTTATCATTTGGGAACCCTCACCATAAATTACATGGTCCAGGTACTCTATGCAGTCTTTTTAAAAAAAAAACTCACATTTCTCCCTTTTTACTAATAGGACGTGCTCCTACAACTTTTTTGGGGTTTCTTCCAGGTTTTTCAAATGCTCCTCTTGGTCTACGGTCCTTTGGACCAGAACTGGCACTGATGTGATGCCAAAAGGCATCATTTTGGTGTAGAATAGTCCCTTGTGTGGCACAATCGTCAGTCAGAGCTGGTACTCCTTTGCAACCCCATCTCACAGAAGGCCTGCAACAAATCAATTTGAGAATTTTCCCCCAGCCAGTCCAATGAACAGGTCCTCAATAAGCAGAAGTTGGTATTGAGCTACACAGAGGACTGGGTTGCCTGTGACCTTAAAGTCACCACAAATCCTCACCACATCATCTATTTTTACAACCAGAATAACTGGAGTGGCTCAACCACTGGTGGTTACTAGTTCCAACACCCCCAAGTTCACCAGCTGTCCCAGTTTTGCCTCCTTTTTAGGCCAGATAGCATACAGTGCTGGACGGGCCTCCCACTTCAACCGAAGTTTAAACTCTACTCCTTTCATTTCTATAGGGCTTCCTTGAAGACATCTTTATATTTGTAGAAAATCTCTTGCAAACTCATTTTTGAGTCCACCAGCCTATTAAGGTAGGCAATGGCCTAGTGGCATTATCGCTGGACTATTAATCTAGAGACCCAGGTAATATTCTGGGGACCTAGGTTCACAATCCCACTGGGGCAGATGGCAGAAATTGAAATCAACAATAATTTGGAATTAAGAGTCTAATGATGACTATGAATCCATTACCGATTGTCGGGAAAAACCCATCTGGTTCACTAATGTCCTTTAGGGAAGGAAACTGCCATCCTTACCTGGTCTGGCCTACGTGTAACTCCAGAACCACAGCAATGTGGTTGACTCTTAATTAGGGATGGGTAATAAATGCTGGTCCAGCCAGTGATGCCCATATCCCATCAATGAATAAAAAAAATTAACAACATCTAAATTTAACTTCAATTTCTACAACTAGGATCGAAATATTGCCAAATAAATAGTCTTTTCAAGACACGGCTGCAGTCACGTGGCACGTCGAACGCCGTTGGTGACTGTTTTATGACGTAATTTAAAAACGGGCGGTGGTGGGCGGGGCTTGGGGGCAGCAGCTGACCCTTGATCCCGGAAGTGGCTCGGCTGTCGCCCACCTCTTCCCTGTCCATTTTCTGCGATCGGAACTTGGTTGTTGCGCCGACGACGACGACGGTAGGGAAAAGCAAGAGAGTTGGTGGAAAAGTATAAGAAGATGGTTTGGGAGCGGGAGCGGGAAAAGTCTTGAACGCCCGGCTTTATTCACGACTTCTTTCGGAGGAGAAACGATTTTGTGCGTATGTATATGTATATGTATATGTATGTGTATGTGCGCGCGCGGGAGGCTGCAGAAGGTAAAGAGCAAATAAGTTGTTGCATGCCTGTGGTGTCGGAGTGAATTGTCGAGTTTCTGCTGGGAAGGAGGAGGGGAAGATGCTTTCGCGTTCCTCTCCACACCAGTATATTCACCCTCCCTCGGTGGCCGAGGACAAATGGGTAACCCTTTCCTGATTTTATTGGGAGCGGATGCTGTTAATTGTACTTCTACGGATGCAATATGTGTGTGTTTTCAAACTATTTCCACCGGAGGTGGTTGCTGGTGGCTGTATATAAAGTTCTTCCGACGTCATGGGGGTGGGAACAATCGGGCTGTACTTTCTTTTTGCTTTTCGAGAAAGAATGAAGAATCCACTGGGTACATCCACTGAGACCTTTAAAGTCTCCGCCACGAGGTTTTGGGTTTCCAGTAACTGATTTGGAAGTGAGCTGTCACACCATTGGGTGTTGTAAACTTCTGATTAGTGGATGTCTGAAGTTTTTTTTTAAATCGGTTGCTTTTGACTTGTTATTTATTCAGTCTCGTCCTGTACGTGAACATGTTTTCTGTAGCAAATGCAAAGCCATAGCGATTTCACTAAATCCATCGCTCAAGTAAATTAGCCTGTAACATTGGACTTAACATGCCTGAAATTGTAGAAACTTCCTGATACAAGGGAAACTGGACACTTTTCATTTGGAAATGTTTATTTTAAACAGACTATCTACTTACAAAAAACAAAGTAAACTGACGGATACCTTACTAAAGAGTGAAATTTATTAGATATTGCAACTTTGAAAATAAAGTAGCTCCTGCTAGACTGCTAATTAGCAAATTGCCTGGGCCCTGGAGCCCCAACAACATGCATAACAGCAAGGTGCAGCTTTAAGACAATTCTAGGGCTGCATCACAGCTGCCAAATGATGAAAAACTATAGTACATTCTAAGAATTCTAATGTGGCAACTAAACCATGGTGGATTTTGATCCCTCCAATCAATCTGACCTCGTGTTTATTGTTTGAACTGGAACTCCTTCAAGATTCATTGGCCATAAAAGCAGTCTGGCAAGAACACTTGCATTTTGAGGCCATGTATGATGTTATTTTACTTTTTATTGAGTGATGGGATCTGCAGATGGAGACTGGAGGATAAATCAAATTAAGGAGCATAAATCTGCATTTATAATATTCAGAGGTTATGGACGATAGAATATAGCAAATTTTAGAACAAGTTATGGAAACATTAACTGGGGAAAAAAAACACGTGAGCAGATCATCACACAAACATCAAAGGGAGGGGAGCATGAGTGTTTGAGAGAAATCAATGGGGAAAGAGTGGCAGTATTGCTGAAGAACAGTTGGAAGGAGGTGGAGTGATGGAGTTATTTGTAATGGATCTAGAAAATATTATGAGGGACTGCCCTGCAATGTGGTAGACGTAGAGAGAAACTTGAAAGCAGGAATGTATTCGGCCCAGGTATCAGAGCTGTAAGGCTTAACAAAGGCACTGGAACTACCCAAGAACCAGAGGGCTAGCATGTATATATAAGTAGCAGGTATGCTTTTGTGGTGTGGTGTGCTGTGCACATACAACATGAGGAACAGGTAAGGGCCCTCATGGAATTAGTAAAACTGCCCAAACAAGCTGCACTGATTAAAATTAAAGCTGTCTGAAAAATGTAGACCCCAGCAACAGGGTAACAATTATGCAAGTAAGGCACCCAAAGCCCTTGCAGGGAAACAGATTGTATTTGAGGAAATGCCTGTGGTGGTAATTGATGAGCCAGAAGGGGTGGACAAAGGAGTAGGAACTTTAGGTGCAGTTAGAGAAGAGATCATCAAGCTTCTTTAACCCAGTAAAGTTAAAGAAGCCCTCTGACTCCATCCCCTCTCCCAACTACTCCACCTATCGTGTATTTATTGTCCCTTCTGACCCGCTCTCTGATGCTGAACGTTCTGTACTCAGCAAAGATCTTAGGTTCGTCCCTCTGCTTCCCCACCTTAATGATATTTGGGTACAACACGACATTGAACTCTTCTTCCATTGTCTTTGCCTCGATGCTTACTACTTTGGACAAGGGTCGTCTCTCCATCCCATGAATGCCTTCACCTGCCTCCAACTCTCAACCTCAAACTGAACCTCAAACTGAACCTCGCCCTTGGGCCTTTTACCTGCACTTGACCTGTGCACGAGAACAGTCAACATTACACTGATCGCCTTAATTTCTCTGCCCGCCTTACTCATTTCAACCCATCCAGTCCTGAAGAAGGGTAATACCTTTCCTCCAGATGTGCCTGGCTTGCTGTGTTCTTCCAGCCACTTGGAAACCTCCTCCAGGTCCCCCCAACGTCAGATTATTGTGTCCACAGTAGTCACTGATCTCATTTTATGGCTTTGTGTGAGGGAAATCATGTCTCTCCAACTTGTCTGGGTTTTTTTTAGGAAGTAACCATATAGACTGAAGGCAGAGTGGTAGAAATTGTTTACGTGAACTTTAGCAAAGCGTTTTGACAAGGTTCCATATGGGGCTGGGTGCGGAGGGGTTCTCAGTTGAACAGAATTTATTTTCGGAGATTTGCAAATTTGTGGAATTCTCTTCCCTAGAGAATAATCAGTGCAAAGTCATTGAATAATTTAAGGATGATTTGGATAAGCTCTTGATCAACAGGGAATCAAGGTTATAGTGAGTATATTGGCAAGGAGAGTGAGGCTGTAATCAAATTAGCCATGCCCAAATGGAGAAATGGCCTACTAATACTTGCAGTTCATAAAAGGTGACCCAGTACCACTGTTTCAAAGGCAATTAGAAATGGGTAATAAATCTTGATGTAACAAGTGATACCCACATCCATACCTAAAAATGCAAATACAAACTCTTCATGTGGCAAACCGTGTGCTATTTATTAATCCACCTGAACAGTCCATTGCCAGCTTTTTGCCTCACTCTAAACCATAAAATCTTGTGTTTGGCAATTAATAAATACTAAATGAGGCTTTCTGTGCTTTGATCTTAATTATACATTTATGCTGTGATCTGCAGTGGATCTCGTCCTGTGCCTTGTGAAATGGCATTTAAAACTGTCTTCTAGTCACAAAATAACACCAGTCAACTGCTTCCTGCCATTGAGCTAACTTGGATCTAACTTGACACTTTTCCTTGGATTTTATGGAATTTTTCTTTTCTGATGAGCCTTCCATAGACTTTGCGACTTATGAATTTTAGTAAAGCTTATGGCATCAAAAAGAGTTACCTTCATTCGCCACCACCGAATGTGTTTAGTTTTGAACTGGCAATTACTTTGCTTAAATTAATGCTAAATATGTCTTTCTAGTTAATTAATATCAGACTACTCTTCAATAATTTATCTCCTCACCATTGCAGTTTGCCTGACTAGCCAGTAGCCACTTCATGTATCCCTTCTTGACAACCATGAGCTTTATGGTCCACATTAACCAGTGAATATATTGGAAAATAATTATCAGAACCTCCTGTGCTTTCCTCACTTGTTTCCCTTGACAGCCTAACAATTTGTTTACTTTCAAGATGCTAAACCTCTGAATCTTTCCTTTCTTGCCATCTTTATCAGGAAACGTAGTAGTCAGTGAGCACAGGGTTTTTGTTTTAAAAGAGCAGCAGGTTATGGTATTGTCAGCGATGCTTTGGACTCATCCAAAGCAAAGGGAACAGGAAAATGGGTGACTGACCAGGAAAATATTAGAATACTCATTTATGGAGGTAAAAAGTGTTAACGAGCGTTTCAGCAGCTGGTAAATGGAAATTGACAACATGAGGAAGATACAAATAAATAGGCTTTATAATGGAAGTAATGAGGTTGGTACCTCAGCCAGAAGTTGATTAGGACATTTAAGTAGTGAGTTGGCTGGTTCAGCCTGAGACAGGTTAGGAGCAGGAGATTGCAGCTAATGAAATAGGTGACTAAAGAAGGGGTCTTCTGATAGAGACTGTAGACATTGGAGGAAATTGTAGTCCAACTTGGAGTGAATGTCAGAGAATTCACAGAAGCAGTAGTGAACCTGAGTGAAATGGTAGTGAGATACAGCTTTGTAAACTACTGGTGGCTGACATAGGTGAGTTTTGTCTGCTGTTGACACCATTGGAAGCTGTGAAATTAGTACTTTAATTAACCTGCCCGGATATGTAATGACACACCTCTGTGGCAGGTGAACTTGGACTATTAGTTCAGGGGAGGGATTCTTGCACTCAACTACAAGGGCCCCTGTGGAAGTAGTGAACAGTTGGTAGAATGGAAATGATCAGTAAATGAGTGAATGTCCTGTGTTGGCATCCAAGATTCAAAATATGATGAAGATGGTCTTTTTAGAAAAATAGATACTTTGGCTTTTTTGAAACTTTCATACATTGAGATTTTGTGTTAGGGTTGACTATGCTTTTTGGAGAAAAGTGAGAATAGCTGAGGCATATGTTGCTTTGAGTAAATAGTGATGTTGCTGGTAAGTGGTTATCTCCCTGATAGTTTTTAAACTTCCACATAAAATGGATCCTAACAGCAAATTTTAAGGCTAAGGACAATTACAGGAAGGACCTATTTTACTTTGTTTCACTCTAACACCGGTCAGTTAATGATGCCTACATTCCCACTCAGCTTTCCAAAATTTGTTTTCTAGTAGTTTCATACTGGTCAGACACAGGGCCAAGTAATCCTATAGGCACTATTTTGAAGTGACCTCT